CTCACAAAAAGTTAATATAACGATTTTTTTAACAGTAAATACCGTCTCATAATAATTAACTCATATTTGTGAATTTTGAGAATAAATTGTTTAGTTAGAGTTTTAAAACAATAAACACAAAGTCTGGGATGAAAAGATCTTGTTTGGGTTTGAAGATTAGAGGTGGATACGGGCCGTGAATATCTATGTAACGTTGTAGACAATATCGTGCGTAATTGGGAGATTCGTGCTTTGTGTGTATTTAACACTTCTCTTCATTTTTTTTTTGTATTCTTATAGTTAATTTGGCGATTCAGAAGTATGTGTACCAATATGGAGGTAACTAATTTTTTTCACCTACTTTACATCAAGTTGTGTAAAGGGACTGAAACCTATGAACGGGGGATATATCCACTTGGCTAACACGTAATAGAACAAAATAAGGAAAATTGTAATAAAATTATGGCCTAATCCTACCCTGGTACACACACAACTGAAGTGCCGTTAATGTAACTTATATTTACCAGTAAACTTCAAGCAGTTGAATCCGTATTCAAATTTATGGACAAGATTTCTGATATTGCGCATAATCGGAGGCTTTGTGTGTATTTGACTGTTCACTAGTTTATTATTTTATTTTGTTAAATATATAGTCCACTACTTCGACTATAGGTAGGGTTACCATATTTTTGTGACTTCAAATCGGGACGCCTCAAAAGACAACGACCCCTTAGCTGTGATTTTGTAACTTCACATTTTCCGATTTTACTACGTAGGCCTACACTCCTACATTTAATGCTCGGCTGTCTTCATTGACCATATTGTTATCAAAATTTCATGCGCATATTTTCTGTCCAAATATCGGGCTCAGTTCGTAAAATAAGACGTAAAATTACTAAGATGGACATGAATGATAGCTAGACGTATTACAGTCCTAAGAATGTGTTAGTCGATTCCTATTCTTCTACTAGAATCAATTTGAGATTTGGGTCGTGGTGTGTTCGCCTGGTGAATAGAGTCTTGGATCTGACCTTGGTGATATCGCAGATCAAAGCTCAAACCTGTCACGCCGTCCAGAATCTGATAAATTAGGTCAGTCATTTCGAACCAGAAAAACTCCAGAAGGGTCTTTTCAGAAATAGCAGTTTTGTATGTAACAGTGACTGCGTTTACAAATTCTCATAGGGAGTTGTACATGAAAACTCTGTTTAAAAAAAAAGCTAGCATTGTAAGCTTCCTATCGAGTTGTTGAACTGCCAATATTTTTATTTCAAAAAAATATTAAAAAACGCAGGCGTAATGGGATCCATTATTGACATAACAGCAAGTTATTTGCACCTGGTCGCCACCCAAACTAATGCGCAAGGTTTGAATATGGGTCACGTGATGAGGGCACGGGTCACGTGACCTGAAGTCTGTTTGGTGTCTTTGTCTTTAAAAATAATATTTGTGACAAAATAAAAAGATTTGTCAAATCATCATGACGTCATAGTAATCTTGTGACTTTGGCATCAATGTCGCTTGACTTGTGCTTTTGTTCCAAGTAATATTGTTGAAAATATGAATTTGAGCGTGTTGTATGATTTTAGCATTTATCTTTGAGCGAAGATGCTCCGTGCGGTTAAGTAAATTCTTTCTCAAGAGCCGTTTAACCCCGAATCCCGCAAAGATGGAATCTGATATCTCGTTGCGTCGTTAACCCCTGTGTTGTAGAATTCTTTGTCTGGGTGATATATATTACTGGAAATATGAGTTTATACAATTCGTGCTATAAACGGCGTTCCCGAAGTATGTGAACCAAGATGGCGGACACAGGAACGTAGTCTGTATACTAGGTTAGGGTTAGGACATAATTTTATTCAAATTTTCTTTATTTAAGTTCTATTACGAGTTCGGAGACTAGCCAAGTGACTCCCGTAGTATTTGTACTTGAAATTATGGCCTAACCCTAACCTGGTACACATACTACGTTCCGGTGTCCGCCATCTTGGTTCACATACTTCTGGAGTTTTCTTCTAAACCGTATAACTATTAACTGATGCGCAATGCACTATCATGATTATTCAGTTTCAGTAGCGTTTGATATTCCAGTATTTCTTTGAAAAGAATCACACAATGCGAGAAAAATAATGTTTGATCCACTCGCGAAACTTTTACGTTTCAACCACAAATGGTAGCTTAAAATTTTGAGTACATAAAATATGGGCTGGATTGTCTCAGCGTAATCAGTGGTGCGATAGCGAGTTTGTTTTTTTGAATGTGTGTTATTTAACGCACAGTATCTCGTGTGTGTAGTTTTCGTGAATTTCTATTACATTCAAAATTTTATTAGTTTTTAGCATAGCTTAACCGAACTTCTCATATTTTAAGCAGTGTTTAAGAGTTTTATTTCTTTTAATACACTTTCATAGCGGCATGTCCACCGTAAGTTGCGCGAAACACGTCAGAGTTCCCTCCCTTACACAGCTTAACTAATTGCTTTATGAACATCTCTGAGCAAAGTTACAGTGGTTCCAAACTTTTAAGGCTAGTGGCCCCTTTCTGATGGCTTTTAGCACTCATGACCCCCCCTATTTATCATTCCAGTATTTATAGCGTTATTTTGATTGATAGATTATGAATCCCATTATGTTCAAACAATTCGTGTTCAACAAAATGAAAACACCCTGTGAAATAACCTTAAAGTCAAGCAATGAAACTGGGAAGAAAAATGAGTTAGCTTGTAAAGTGTAAAGTAAAATTCGTTTTTCGCCTAGCATTGTGCCCTCCTCGAACTGCTCTTAGCCCCCCGATTGGAAGCCGCTGCTATATATATTTATGACGTGGCCTTGCACGCCGGTAGATTACATTTCAGCTGAATTTCGTGAATATTCCAGTCATACCTTTATTGTTTATAAATCTATTTTCCGGTTCCATATAAAAGTATTTCCTGCTCTTCGGCTCGTTTTGTAAATAAACTTGCGCAATTAGCTCAATTTGGCTCTTCTTGTTCGTAGAGGGTCAAGTGGGGGCGGTTAGCGCTGAACATGAAACTTTTACAAATAAAGTCGGGCGGTAATTTCGAAATTCTTTTCTACGTTCAACCGAGCATGATCGACCGTTTTGTCGTTGATGTATGTAATTTAACAATCTGATAAAACATTTGAATACCGAAACAGAAACATTTCTGCCGGCAAAGAGTAGTATATATTCGAATATATCAATAGCTGCCATTTTACAGCGCCCTTAATTCGGTTGATTGAAGCCATTGGAAAAATTTTCTATTTTTTCTCAAAATAGCGAATAAATATTCAACCGCTTCAACATTATGTAAGGTTCAACAAAGTGATTGAAAATGAATAAAAAATTCGAATATTTGTCTTTAATTTATAGTAATGTTAGTTTATCGGGTAATCGACGATGTCAAAGAATTTTCAAACAAAGGGGGGTGGCAGGAAGGTTCTGAAATTAATTTCTAATTGCCAACTTAGATTATGTGAGTTAGTGGTTGCGACCGGATGCCGGAAACGTGGTATTTTACTTTTCAAATGGGGGTATGGGAAATGGGTATGCGGTTCCGATCGCCTTTCAACGACCCTATCTAAGAAATGCTGTTGCAAACAATAAAAAACATATTTCAAATACCGAAACAAGATAATTCCAGCTATTCATTGTGTTTCAATGGCTACATGTCTATAGCCTTGGTTAGAATGCGTCATAAAAAACCGACAGAAAAGTTCTTTGCGTTTTTTTTTTCACATCAAAACAAAATGGCGTCTCATTGCGTGTGATTTTTGGCGTTTTATGAGGAGAGCAAACAAACAAAAATCCTAATCCCAGAAAATTAAACTAAACTAATTTTAACTAAAAATCACTAAGTATTTGCTATTTGTGTTATGATTTGGCTTGTTTCTGTTTCGTCACAATAATCTTTCATCTATTTCATATTGTGTCGTCACAAACGACGCGTGAATGTTTCCAGCCTCAAACTTCCTGCTAAAATCGAAAATAACACGATTGTTTACGTTGACGCTATTATGATATCATAAACCAAATCAAAACATCACAATGGAAATTGAAACTACTCATTGTTTAAAATTCCTCAAAATGTTCGAAGCAAATAAAACCAGCTAAGTGGTCGCATTTTTACCCTCAAGTAGAAAACGTGTTAAAATATATCCAAATTATTCCTTACTTCACGTGCTTACCTCGGTGATAAATAGAAATCTCCTGAATATATTCAATATACCAAACCCTTCATTTTATAATTGAAATGTAAGAAAGCATTTTCTTTAACATACATAGCAATTTTTCGTAGCTTTGAGCGCTTTTTAGACACTCAAGATTCTTGAATAGGGATGGCGGAATCGAGTCCGGATTCGATTACATAATCGATTCTTCGCGGAATCGACCAGAATCGAGTCCGATGCATTGGAATCGATTCTCGAGGTTAAATCTTGAATTTCAAACAATGTGTAACGTTTTGTAGCAATTCCTTCACATATCTGAATGAACTGCTTTATTGCTATGTTGAATTGCTACGACGCCGCAAACTTCACTATATATATATATTTCGCTAGAAGGCTTTTACGTTTACGTTTATTTATTTCTAAAATCTCTGAGGGATTCCTCTTATTTTGTGCGATTTAGTCTCCTGTGACAGATTGAATACCCATACTACTTAGTTTTGGCCTCCTTGTCCGTCCATATGTTGAAACATCGCTCTCTGGTTTGATTTCATATGGTATTGCTTAGGTAGGTATGTTTTTTCGAAAAGATATGTCAAGGAATCGAGATTCGGAATCGAAAATTTAGGAACCGGATAAGAATCGAATACTTGAAAGTAATCATTCTTAGCATCCCTACGTCTTGAACAACCATGCTCTCCGGCCTCCGACTCATGACTCATGGCTGTCACGGTCTAACTTGGCAATTAGAGATTTCAGACCTCGCTTTGAAAATTTCTGGATACGACCCTGCTATAGATAATCGAGCAAATTGTTGACATTCCTTTTCTTCATTCGTATGTATTTGTTTTGCAGGCACAATCGGAGCTGTCCCTTCGTTCAAAACAAGTGGAGTCTTCGGGGTTCAGGAGATTTACAGGATTTCAAAAAGTAAGTCAGTTTTAAGATTGTTATGGAATGCTGGAATACTGCTAAATCAGTTCTTTGAAATCGTTAAAATTGAGTGCTCAGTGCATTAATATTGGTACTGGCATGCGTTCAGTTTATAATATCGTTCTAACAATTTTCTTTACACATCGTTAGATATCAGTGTTAGCTTGAAATGCTGTAATCTGATATCCAATTTTAGTTTTCACCCCCAAAAATCATACATTGAAAAGTACTCGCTCACTGCTGATATTTGAGTCATATTGAAATCTCCGGGGCCGGGAAACAGGCGGTAAGGAAAAATTGTCTCGGTAATCCTAAACTTTGAAGCCTAATTGTTTCACAGTTATTGTTTTGAAATTGGAATTAACAAATCCGGGAGCTTGAGTCAGAACAGGAATATTTATAAACTTTGAATAGGTGGTAAAAGTAAGAATGGATTTATCATAGATTCCATAGTCATGTCAGTTTGATTGGATCTTCCAACCTTGATCTTGTGTTGTGAACAGAGCTATGAGGTTGGGAAAATTTACTCCGGATTAATAAATCCGGGTGAAAAATAATTTAGACTCCAGCACCGAAAAAACCAGAATTAGATAACAAAGACTTATGGCGCAAGGTTTCTTGACCAGACCGTAAAGAGTAAACTTGTTTTTTGACTGTTTTTCGAGTTCTTGTACAATATTTTGACTTCTATTATTGCCAGCGAAAGTCTGAAATGCCAACCTCAAATCTAGCACTTAAGAATTCTTTTTTCATTTACGCAGCGCCCATCATATCCGGGGATGTTCATAACCTCCCCATCAATCACAGCATTGAGAGTTCGTCGCCATATTACTACTCCCACCATCATGAAGGAAGAATGCCACAGAGCCCCCTAGTGATGAGACAACCTTCGTCGTAAGTATTTTAAATATTGTATTAATATGAGTTGACCAATGCCTATAAGACGGAACAAGTTTAAATCAATAGGTATTTCTAAGGACATTAGTTATACGGAATTCACGGTACCCCCGAAGTATGTGAACCAATATGGCGGACACTGGAAGGTAGTATGTGTACCAGATTAGGGTTAGGCCATAATTTTTGAAACAAATACTACAGGAGTCACTTGGCTAGTCCCCAAACTCGTAATAGAACTAAAATAGGGAAAATTGGTATAAAATTATGGCCTAATCTAACATGGTACACATACTACGTTCCGGTGTCCGCCATCTTGGTTCACATACTTCGGGTGTACTGAATTCACTAATTCATAGCTGTTTTCCTAATCGAGTTGAATTGAACTCATTCACATCCGTCCGGATTTTATCAACATAGGCAAAAACCCTTTTTCCTAGGGGGTGGAATAAATTGAGCACTCTTCTTCTCCTCTCAGTAAAGATCCTGTTCGAGCGGAACGAATCTTAAAAATATGCATTCCCCCCCCAAAAAAAACAGAAGAATGGTCGGTCTAGCGCCCTTCTCGCCCAGCGTGTAGTAAATTGAACTCTCTCCATAGAACCATACAGTTTATGACATCGTAAGTTTACTATGACGTCATAAAATATGACTGATTGAGGTTTGATGACGTCATAAGTGAGTCGTTTCAGAATGAAACAGAATTTTTTTTATCATATATCAGTCGCTTTGAAATGAATGAGTAAATTACTTTTGATTTGCTTGCTATGAATGAAGTTTGGAGCATTGATGACGTCATATTAGATCAGATTCGACTCGGTAAAACAGATATATTTTCTCTCCAAATAGGAAGACATTTATCTAATAAGCGCTTGAAATCTTCAGATAGACTTCGTATGACGTCATAAGATATGACGCAATAAAGGTTTGATGACATCATATGGGAGTTATTTGAAACAAAGCAAAAAATTATTATTGATTAGCTCAATGGAATTCATTACATTGATGACGTCATATTCGTGACGTTAATTTAGGTATGTTTTGATTGAAATTCGCAGTAAAACTTTTTCTATTTACAGGGGAAGTCATTCATCAAATAAGCGCTTGAAATCGTCGGGCAGTAGTATGTCGACTGAAGATCAGAATGGATTGGAAAGCGGTGGAGAGAATGAAAATGAATCGTCGTTCTACAGCAGGCAACCCGGGTCCCATCATAGCTGGCATGGGTCGGATATGGATCAAGGTAGGGTGTGGTTACCGATTACCGTTGGTTAGTGGTGTACCGTTAAAAAGTTTATGTCGATCAAAGTAAAGTATGCCGAGTGTTAATCATTATCGATTAGCGTCAGTAATTACCGATTGTGTTATAGTCATAACAGTTTAACTGGTGGTTGGTGGCGTATCGGTTGAATAATTTGGTACATACCATCCATCGCTCAGTTAGTGGTGTATCGTTAGAATATTTTGGTACATTTTCACGGTGTACCAGAAAAAAAAAGTATGGTCGATGCCAACCTAACGGTTGGTTACCGGGTGAATATTTAGGTATTGTCAGAATTGTTTAACTTCAATATTCGAAAAAGAATGGTATTCAAAACATAGATATTTAAAAACAAATATAACTTAACTGTCATCGTCATCAACCGATATTTTTATGATGAAATTATTAAAAAAATGTGGGATAATTAATGACGTAATTTTTATCATTGTTTCGTGTCTCCAGTTACGTCATCAGTCAATATTAGGATTATTTAAATTATTCCAATTTTCAATAAAATGTAGCTAGTGACGTCATCAGTTCAACTTTTGCATGAAGAATACATACCGTGTTTCGCCGAAAATAGGACAGGGTCTTTACGAAAAACAACACTAGGGCTTATCTTTGGGAGATTTATTTTATTTTCATTTATCAAAAACAAAACTACAAAGTACAGAATTACGAGATTTTCAAATATACAAAATATGAAAATTGATAAATCTGATTCTAGACTTTCTATGTTTCAGCAACAACAAGTCCACTTCAATCTCCAACGAATAAAACTCCCAGAAATTCAAATGATCATCCGGGAACGAACGTTTCATCTGCAGGTGGGTTTAGTATTGAGCTGTGCGTTTCAGAATATTTTGCACCAACACCCTTACTCTTCTCTTTCCAAGTTTTAAATGCATTCGTGTATTTCCCTGGGCTTTCCACACTTGTTTCCATATTATGTTTGAGTCGTCTCATAACTTTCCACTCGCAGCAATAATACATGGAGTTAAGTAAAACGAGAGAGCAATGCTCAAATACATGAGCCCGGATTACTAGTAGTGCCTTTCTCTATATAGCACAGAGTTTCCCAAATTTAATGTTGGACTCTTCATTCAAAAATCGCTTGTTTACCGCCAAAATTGCCTTTCGTAGTGTGATTGGACAACGTAAACCACGTGACTGCGAATATATCCTCGGTAGTTACTGTACTAGAAGGTATATCTTCTACTGGGGTGAAGATGTGTCTGTTTAAAAGGTTGCTAAACTATGTGCTTCTAATTATTAACATCATGTGATAATATATTTTAAGGCCCATTTAAAGTTATGTAAAGATTAATTCTCATTAAATCTCAAGATTAATACAATATACCCCTTGAAAAGTCGAAATGTACCCCTGGCGATTCATGTTCCCAGTTTGGAAACCCCTGGTCTAGCACTAAAAATTTGCAATTAATTAAATCCTTGAATGCGGAGAAAGCGATTTTTAACAACAACAACAAAAATAACAACACTGATAGCAACAAATTTGCAAAAAAAACAGTTCACTTTGCTTAAATTTGACGAGTTTTAACAAATTTTAATAGTCCATATGAACTTATTGTGTTAATTCATAATATTTCAGGTGGAAATTCGGGGATGCCCCCTCCCCATACACCCGGAGTTTCAACAAGCTCAACCCCTACGTCATCTTTCCCAAGACTGCAAGGTAAGAACCGTAGGTCCCTCTCGACAGTGGTTGCTCTCAATTCATCTACCCTACTGCTCTATAAGTAGGGCTGCCATCGATATAAACCCCAAAATAAGGACATCAGGAAAACATAATAATAGAATAACAAAGAACGAGATGTAATGAACAAAATGCATTCATGCCAGCGCGACTCGTGTCTAGTCATACTTTGCACTAAAAGAATTTGCTCCAGCAGTTCTTTATTCTTAGAAATTATCTGTTCCATCTCACTTTTAAGTTGTATTTTGATTCAAGTTACACGAACAGGTTTTGGCCGGTAGGATATTGTTTTGTCATTGTGTCAATTAATTTGCTGTTATTACGTAATGAATGCGCGTAGCAATCTATGAGGTTGTAAAATATCATTTCTAGCAAATCAATCATTCGAATTGACCAATCTAAGTGCCTGGTATTAGAACTTCTATCCATAAAATAAGGACAAAAATAAAGTAAAAATAAGAGCGTTTCACAGAAATAAGGGCAAAAATATTTTCTAAGACAAAGACTTTCAAAATAAGGACAAGTCTTAGAAAAAGGGGACGTTATGGCAGCCCCGTCTTTCAGGCTGAGAAACGCTGAATTAGAGCATAGTTCCACTAAGAGCTATGACTTCATCTATAGAGCTATGAATTATTTCCCATCTTTTCTGTTCGCCCTGAAGCAAAGACTATATATATATATATATATATGATATGTGGATCGGATTTCCATTTACAATTTCGAAAAAATATTCTTCACTTTGACTACTAGTACAGAAAATCACACTTCGGCTAACAAAAGGTGTTGTGTTAAAAATTCTAGTTTTTAGTGACTTTAGACTTCAGTGTGTTTCAAACTCCGCTCTATGGTTTTGCGTGTCCAACTGATTCTCGTACTAAAAATTCTTCACCAATAATAATATTCTTATTCTCACAGCAGGTTCATGGCACCCAGTACTGCAGCAGCCCCATGCCTTTCCGTACCCCCATACCCAAGCTTTCGGTCACCCAAGTCAGGACTTAAAAGATTTTGCTCAGTTCGCTTGTTTAAGTGCAGAAGCCGCAAAACATCATCCTAGTCAGGTGAGAACTCCATTAGGTGGCGATATATATATTTTTAGTGAAGGAGTATAAAATTATATGACGTCATACTTACTTACGTCATTGGGATTAGAATAATTATAATAGTAAATTGGGGTGGGGAGCAGGTATAAAAATTATGTGACGTCATACTCGATGACATCATAGAAATAACATTTCCTCAGTTTGAAATACTTAGTGCAGAGGTGGCGAAACATCCCCCTAGTCAGGTAAGGATTCCAGTAGGGAGTGACATATATTTTTTTTTTGAGGGGGTGAAATTCTGTGGCGTCATACTTGATGACGTCACTCTGACATTATAAGAGATTGTTACACAGGTTGCTTGCCTAAATGTAGAGGATCCTCTTCGCGAATTGCAGTCGTAGGCGACATACCTATTTTGGTGAGGGGGATGTAAATTATGTGACGTCATACTTGATGACATAATTTAAATTAGAAGATTCTCCGGCATATCTAATTTTGGGAAACTTGAAAAAAAAAATTGCTCAGTTTGTTTGCCTGACTGCGAAAGTCCCAAAATATCACCCACGTCAGATGAGAATTCCAGTAGGTGGCGATATATCTGGATTTTTGGTAGGGGGGTTCAAATTATATGACGCAATTTGAATTTAAAGCGTTTTTCGCTCAAGTCCGACTATTTACATTACTCTTTCAACACAGTTACTCAGCTACCATCCTTCTTCCGGAGTCAGAGGTCATGACGGGTCACAGGAGAGTTCAAGATGGCCGACGACGCAGGGTTCCTTGGATGAGACGTCAGCTGTGGATTTCCATCCTATGATACCGAACGACAGGATTCAAGGTATATTTTCGGGGAAGGGGAATTGTTTGGAGATGAGTCTCATTTACTTCTGAGTTAGTGCACATAAACTTGCTCAGAGATGAGTCTTCTTTACTTCTGAGTGAGTGCCCGTAACATCACTTAGAGATGAGTCTTCTTTACTTCTGAGTGAGTGCCCGTAACTTTGCTCAGTTATGAGTCTCCTTTACTTCCGAGTGAGTGCCTGTAATTCTACTCGAAGATGGGTCACCTTTACTTCTGAGTGACTGCATAAAAGTTTACTCAGAGGTGAGTCTCTTTAACTTCCGAGTGAGTGAGCATAACTTTGCTCAGAGATGAGTCTCCTTTACTTCTGAGTGAGTGCCTGTAACTTTGCTCAGAGGTGAGTCTCTTTAACTTCTGAATGAGTGCGCGTGACTTTGTTCCTTGAATAAAAATCACACATTATTTCAACATTTCAGGCGTAGTACCAGGACTGAATCCAGACGAGACCTTGGTTGCAGAGGAAAGACTTTTCCCGCCTATTCCACCTGGGGGAATGATGGACAACTCGTCAGCCAATGGAAGCGCAGCTTCAGCGGCTCAAGCTCCACCTATGTCTAACGACAAATGAAAAGACGTTATGCGTGAATAAATTTGCGCCAAAAAATTTAAAAAACGTGGGGAGGAAAAGGGGAGTCACAAAAACTGGATCGGTCTTGACGTCAAGAAAATTTTTTTTAAAAAATTGCTGCACTGGCCATTTGAAGTAATGCCAGTTGAATCATTAGAGTCTGTTGACCCTCAGTGGTAAATTTTCTGTTTCTCTTCCGGGTAAATGGCCAATTAATGACTAACGAGTTACATGATATTGGTCAAGCAACGCTGAACATTGTCAAAATAAGCCAACATGTACTTTTATATTATCCTATTCGTTGAAGTTAACCTCCAGCGTTAAATTTTCTGCTTTTTATTCCGGATAACACGTCGATGTCAAAGGTCAGAGCTATTTTTCCTCTGCTTTAATCACAAATGATCAAGCGTTGTTCGAAGATAAACCGTACCTGGAAAGCACGTTTCGTACTTAGCCCAAACTTGGCCATATATATTTCATCAAAACTTTGAGACTGATTGACAGTATTTATGTTCAAAGGTTGGTACTCCCGAATGTAAAAATGTGAACCAATGTTCAGGTGCAATTACTACCAGAGTCACATGGCTAGTCGCTGAACTCGTAATAGAACTAAAATAAAGAAAATCGCAAGGAAATTATGGCCTAGCCCTAACCTGGTACACTTACTACGTTTCGGTGTCCGCCATCTTGGTTCACATACTTCGGGAGTACTCACATACTCCAAGCCAAAATGACCAAACACACCAAATTGTGTTTTTTGGCCAACCGATCCAAAATGGTTTATACAACGCCTTTACACGTCTTATACTCTGACCAATGTGCAAGCAGTCACTGATATGCATTTAGCTGCTATAATTTACAAAAACTCGAGCAATTGCGGTCCCCCCCTCCCCCTAAAAAAAAGAAAACCCAATCGAATCGTCGCCATTTCAAATGAATTATATCTTTCTGAACTCTAAATTATATTTTAAACGAACTCAATTGTTAAACCTTTTTTCCGTTTTATCAGAATTTTCATCGAATATATTCGGTTCGATTCTAAATTCTAGAACTTTGCTACTAACTGATCACCACAAAGTGGAAAGTTCAATATTTTAATCATTTTTAAAATTTTATCTCTGTTATATTCTTATTTCTTGACTCGTTGTTTTATCTATAGATAATGAAATATGTCGTAAACAGTTTTTTCGTTAACTCTTATCTACTTATCAAATATCTAGATAACAAATGTCTCGCTATCTTTGCCTTGATACCCCTTATCTTTTTATCTTGTTATCTTTGTAGATATCTCATTGCTTGTAACTTATTTATCATATCTTTGCTCAAAGCTTAATTAGATCAATTGGCGTTACCATCGCTTGGCAATGTATAATTAGAATCAGCGTCTTCTTTATTATGAATTTATTTGTATATTGCAATGACGTCATCAGCGAATGAATGACGTCACAGATTTTACCGTTCACGAACAAACACAGTTCAGTGCCTGTCATATTATGACGTCACTAACATGACGTCACCAATGTTCCAAATTCTATTCACAGCAATTAAATCACTCATTTTGTTTTGATTTATTACAAAACAATTCACTTTTGAAGTCATTTAATCTAATATGCGTCATATGTCATGACGTCATACCTGCGACGTAATACAATGTCGCTCAAATACCATCTGCCTATATATACACCGACCATAAATCTTATTTCTGTAACATTTTTATCCCCTAAAGTTCATATCATCGATTGTTCCTTTTATTTATTGCATTTTTGCTGACTCAGCATTTTTACTCCCATTATCCTATCATGCTGTTGAAAAAAAACATAACTTAAAAAGCTTTTTAGGATTCTGGACGCCCCCCCCCCCCCCCCCCCTTCCTTAAAAAATTCGCAATATTGCATTGAACAACACACACAATTTTTGCATGCTTTCGGCGCATTTTTATTATTCACGCTTGCTCTTTTTTATATTAAGCTAATTAATGTCTGATATTGCTAGGCCGCAGATAACGGTTGATTATTAAGTTTGGCCGTGTGTTTTCCAACCATAAGTTCCCATACCTCTTTTAGTTTGTTTGTTTTTTATTTAAATGCGCCTCCAAATACTAAGTTTCCTCATTTACCTGCAAACTGTCGAAAAATCCAGCAAATTTATTGGCATTTCATAGAAAATGGTCACTTTTTATAGTTAATTATTAAAGAGTATGTCCCGGGCACTCAAAAGAAATCCATTAGAATTCAGCGGTTCTCAAACTTTTCAAGCTCTTTTTAGAATTTATCAAGTTTCGCGCCTCATTTAAAAAAAAATAAATACCTGACAATAAGCTACAAATAATAACAGATAGCAAAGCGGAAGTATGTTTTATTCCAAAAATACGTTGAATATAAGTGGATGAGGCTTGAATATCCACAATGAAAAATATAAATATCCAAAATAAGGCGGGCAAGACCAAATCTAATAAAAATTTTCATTTCAAAATTATTATTTTGTTATCAAAATTTGGTTTCCCCCGGAGCTGAAGTCGCAGTCAAAAAAAATCCTTCACTTCGGAGTCGGATCTAGATGTTATTAACCGGAGTCGGAACCTTTTGAATGATTTCGGATTTGAAATCGTTGTTTCATTTCTCCTTCACAGCAAATTTACTTTTCCAATAACACATAAATGCCGGTATTCTTGCTGATTTTTTCAACAGTCTCGTTTACCTTTTTTCACATTCTTTGTTTGTTTATTTTAATCAACATAAAGCCCTCACTCCTGACATATTTTTCGTGAATTTCTTTCTGACCGTTAACCAACATTTTTTCATATCGAGGTGGTGTCCTAGGGCGTTTATTATTATTCATAATAATACACATACAACTAGTAAACGTTATAGTCTATGCCAGTGGTTCCCAACCTTTGACGACTTGTAAGCACCCGCTAGTTGTTTCGATCAAATTTGCCAAAAAAAAAATCAACCCCCCCCCCTTTGAAAATTTCTGACTACGCCTCTGCTTTGAATGTATGACAGGAAAACTTCATCTAGGGCCTTTGAGGCGATATCGGTGTTTACTCCCTATAGGTTGGACTAATTTCGCCAGCACAGTCCAGATGTTCAGTAAGTTCCCGCTCAAATAATTACATGTATATTGTTTGAACATAACCAATCACCTATCAGATTTGCCAATATTATTTCAAACTTGCCACACTTTAGAGATTTTAGTATCAGGTTTTCTTCTTTTGTTGAGCCTATGGAATGTTTCATTGAAGTTCCGCAACACCAAAATGGTTGAAAATCCCTGGCTTGGACAGATAAACTACACCTAGGCGTCTTCATTCATTGTCTTGATGATTGGACCGCGTCATTTTCACTTCTTCCTAAAATAATTATTTTGAAAATCCCTTACAAATCAATTTACGGTACTCCTGAAGTATGCGCAACAAGATGTCGCACAACCTGAACCCTAACCTTGTACACAACCTGAGTTCAGGTGGTGCGCCATCTTGGTGCGCATACTTCAGGAGGTCCCAATTTACATATACATAAAAGTGGGCGTGGTCCTAAACATCTCAACTAATGAGACGTTAGAAAATTATCACGATATGTAATTTACAATATCTTATTAGGCCGTGGATACATAATAATTTCACACACATAATTTATATTCGTATCATGTATGGCCACGTTTAAAGTGTGTTTATTGATGAGATGTTACTGCTAGTATTATGATTTTTGTTAATAAATTCATGAATTTTTTAGAAAAAAATTTCTTATTTGTGTGACTGAAACGGAGTGTTTCACATACCTGATGGTCGGCTTCGGCTTCCTCCGCCTTTAAGTCGATTAATCTGACACAAATAACTAGCTAACTAATCCCATGCCCGATATGGACCGGAAACCATACCATATGACTAAGCCATTTTTTGACTTACCTTCACGGGATAAGAGCGTAGCCAGCTCAAAATATGGATAATGACATTTTTTGGTATAATGACGCAATACGACGCTAACTCGTGCCTCTTGCTCCGAACAAAGCCCCACCTGCGTCTGGATAAATATGTGCATCCTATCTCATCATCAAAGAAAAGAAATTGTAAAATGAGTAATATAAGAAATATCAAGAGAGTATCCATTACTCATAAAGTTTACAGATATATCAGTGATCTAGGATAGAATTTCTTGTTTAGCCCGTGGCTAGTAAGCCGATAAGATAAATTAGAGATATATACGTAATTTCGCGCGAAGTTGCCGGGATCACCGCTTATTATTATTAAAGACAAATATTATTAATTTCTACATGGTGATCGCTAGAAAAACAAACAATTTGTCAAACAGATATTTACTTTTGCAAATGATGATTTGAAAACGAGCTTGGAACGATGTCCCACATGTTAATAAAACGCTACACGAGCTTGTTCACGAACGCTGTTCTGAAGTGCGCGGATGACACTTTGAGCATCCATGAGCACAATATAACATATGCTTCTAAAAAACTTTGTGTGGTGTTGCCCTGTTCTTTTTTTGAATACCGTTTTTATGTCTTGAATCGATTTAAACTTTTTACCAGATTTTGTATCCATTGTGTTTATTTTATTGTGTGCTTTTAACGTTTTTAGCGGAAGGGCGAGTACTTGTACGTTTATGACTTTGACCTAAGTTATGATCGTCTTCCAGGTATCTCTGCATTCTGTTTGCTCGTTTGTTGTTCTTTTGTTTTATTTATTACGCAATAAGCGTGGATTAGCGTTCGCAATGTTACCAAAATGCGGAGTCGAAGTCTGGCATGTCGAATTTTCAAACTCCGCGGAGCCAAAATGGGAATTTGTCGGAATCGAAAACTAATATTAGTGATAATCGATGTCGAAATTTACAAAAAAAAAAATTAACTGAGAATTCACCGTAAACAATCAAGGAAGGCTTTTACACGCTAAAGCAGTGGCTCTCAACCTTCTTTTATATCACGGCCCACTTTCACGGAAAGTTTTACTTCGCGAAACACCTTTGTCAATGTTTTTTTCGAAGGCCCAAATAGCTCGATGCAGGGTGGTCCAGAACTAATCGAATATTCTAATATATATTGACGTTGGAACCTCTAAATTGATGAAACCGATCTGGATCCTCATGATAAAAGCATTGCTATCCTACTGAAAAGTCGTAATAATTTCAATTTTAGCATATAAAAAACTAACATAACACAAAAAATATTGAAAAATACGAATAATTTGACGAGTTCGATGCCCACTATGAGGTGCTTGGCAGCCTACCAGTGAGCCGCGAACCAGTGCGCTAAAGCTTTTCTCGTGTTAAAAAAACCAACGGCGGTTCCGCCAGACAATCGTTTCCGATGCATGAGCTCGCATAGAGAAGAAGCCGTTACCTACGGGTGGAAGTTTTCCAGACTCAAATACTACCCAATACCTAACTAGCTGTTGTTTGAGATGTAAGAGTTTGACGCAGCCCAACGGCGGTTACGTGAGAGTTTGACGCAACCCATCAGCGATTACGTGAACCACCCTACGACGGCGTAGAGTCCAGTAATTCTCTCGGAAGCACAACTTGTCAACCCACACAAGGTTGAGTAAAAGCTAAATAACAAGTTTTCAACGATCAGCGCATTTTGCCAACCGCCAAGCCTAACAAGTCCATGCATCAGAAACGATTAATTTGACTAGCAAATATCATACCAGGCACGGACTGGTAACCGGACGAGAGCCCGTAGTTCACCGAGGTCTTTTCGGGATTATAACTCGGCCCACCCACACAAGGTTAATTGAAAGTCCAATCTGCCAATGGCAAGTTCCCATAGATGTCGCATTTCGCCAATTATGGACAAGTCCATGTATCTGAAACAAGAAACTGGCTAACCAATCCCACACCTGACACTGGACTGGTAACCGGACGAGAGGCCGTGGTTGTCCATATGATTCTGCTGCCTCATCGTTTTTCCTCTCCCCGGAATAAATATGTGAATTTTATTCGAATATACAGCTGTTGTTAGCCACACCATATTCTTAACAAAAAACAAATACAAGAATGTATGTGAATATTTTATCTTTAAATTCAGAAAAAAAATATATCTGGCTTTGCAAGTATATTTAGACCCCATTTTAACTTAAATTTTATGAAGCACAGCTGACAGCATTGAGATCATTTGTTTCGAATATCAGAATTCTGGCTAGTGATGCTTCATTGATTTTCAAACTTGATTGAGGTCAAATATACGAGGAAAACCCGGAATCAAACACAAAAATGATATATATGGAATATATACATGGCGTTTGGAAGATCATCATATCATGAATGACATGTAATTGAGCGTATACCGATTTTCTTTCGGGGTGATTCAAACTTTTTCCCTGGATGAATTTGAGTGACATCCTTTTCATATGGATTCTAGTCTAAAATTGATTTTTCTTTTTAAAAAAAGCCCCAGACAAGCATTTGGGTGCGATTACATATGGTTATAAAATAAAGGCTGTCAGAAAGTTCCTAACGCTTTTAGTAGTGCAGGGGGGGGGGGGGATTTAGCCATTCTTGGGGAGGTATTCTGCTTTGTATTGGCTGTGCTATCACTTGTATTAGTTTATTTCCATAATATTTGTTTAGCTTATCATAAACTATTCAAACTGTGCTGGAACAGGATTGCGTTTTGCACATAGCACTTGCCACGAATTCAATAAAAGGATTGAACAAATAGGGGAAACAGAGTTTTTTTTATCTATAGCTGGGGGGGGGGGGGGAGGAGATAAAGTAATCCAAATAGGAAAACGGGGGGGATTTCACAAAAAGGTTAGGAACCACTGGTTTAAAATAAACAGAGACAGTCTAATGTAGACAGAATCAAACTTGGCCGTGTATGATACGATGATTAC